TATGGCCCCCTCCCAACTGCAAAATGTCATGACCCTCCAGATCTTTTCCAATGCCCACTTATTAAATAAATACTTACTGCACATGCTGCTTACACTACTCTAGGTCCAGGGATGAGACAGTAAATAATTTTCTGCCCACTCGAACTTTCTATCCAAGGAGACAACAACAAAAGAATTAGTGTGTTGATAGGCCAGGTAGCAATGAGTAGCATAAATCAATGAAGCAGGGTAAAGTATTATTTTAAATAGGGTGTCCGGGAAGACAGTGAGGCAGCATCTGAGAGCAATCTGGAAAATGAAGTAATGGAGTCAGTGTGGGGGATCAAGGGGTACCCACAAGGCAGAACAGGACCAAGGCCCGGTCTGTCTTCTTTCAGAATTTGAATGTAACTACCTGATTCAGACCTGAACCCAGTCTCTCTCTTGCCTGGATAGTTTTATTAACTATGAGGAGGTCTCATTTATCAATATCATCATAAAAGCTGTGATTCATTGAGCTACCAGCCATGTGCCTAGTTTTATTAAGAGAATGCGCTCTTCCCAAAATAGCTCTTCCTATTTTTCACATAGGGAACTTGAAATTCAGAGCTTCCTCTCAGGGACTTTCTAGTCTATTCCAATGAGAAAGCACTTGGTTCACAGCTGATTGTTGATGCTTGAGGCATGTGTGGACTGGGCTTGAATGTATACACATCTACAGAAAGCTACTGAGTATGTCTCTGATGAAGCCACTCCTCCCACTAGCCAATCCTAGACAATATGTCTCTTTTAAACCTTGAATAGAAAAAGTGCTTTGGGCTGACTAGAGATTCCAAGTCTTGAAGTCACTCTCAGCTGGTCCTCTTGAAACTAGGAGAATTTAAACTTAGGATACCGTCCTTTCTATTGCTTCTCCTACATATCTCTGGCTTTTATCTTAGATACTTCAACATGCAAACCAAAAAATCTTTACCTTAGAAGAATCATTCTCTGAGTTGACATAAATTTCATCATGTTTCCAGGAAAATAATAGAAATAACTGAGGAGGAAATTCAGCCCACAGTCAGAGTAGGACATGATCAGAAAATTTCCCTTAGGTGAAGTACTTGTGGTTTGTTTTTTGTGGTGCTGTAGATGGAATCCAGGGTCTGTCTGGCACTTCATCACTAAGCTGTATCTTCACCCCCCATTAAGTTGCCCAGCCAAGCCTTGAACTTGGGATCCTCCAGCCTCAACCTCCCAAGTTGCTAGAATTACAAGCCTGCACCACCAGGTCTAGCTTTCTCTGTAATTTGAGTCTACACAAAAATGCTCCTGTGGTTCTTTCAAACAATCCTCCCTTGTCAGCATCCTTAGGAGTTTCCATTCTCCCAGTGTGCCCAGGCCTCCCCGGGAGCTTTCAGTGTGTCCATTGCACAAGGGTGGACTTGTGACTAACAGTCCCCAATTCCAGTTGCATAAAGGGTCTTTACAGAGGCTTTTGTTTTAGGTCCCTTTATAGGGGAAGGGCATCCTTCAACTAAGAGACTTACTGTGTATCTCCCAGGCCTGCTCACTCCTACTTCCTGCCTTCTGACAGCTGAGAGTGTCAAGGTTCTGTTTTTAGCAGTTCTTTAACTATCTAAATGAGACGTGAAGTCTTATTAGCAGAAGCAAGTTCCCTGCCCAATAGGACCGGTGTGCAAATGGGACCCCTGTGGGATATTGAGATCTGGGTCCACCCAGCAGTCCTCTGGGTCATTAGAACTGCACTGGATGCCATGTAGAACCCCCTAGATTCTGTGTGTTTTGGATTTCAGAGGTCTTTGTTATCAAAATATTTGGTTCTCTGAGCTGCTGACAGGTGATAAGAAAAATGAAACTGACCTGAATTTGAATTTTCTTATCAAGTCACTACAGTCTAACAAAAAAGACAAGGATTAGCTCTGTGGTCCTGGGCTTCTCTGAGATTTGCTCACAAGTAGCAGGGCTCCACTCCTACCCTGCAGGGTTGATATGAATAATAAATGAAATGATGTCTGCAAAGCAGCTCATGTGGTTTTTTATCCTCCTTCTCATAGTTATTATAATAATTTGGAAGAACAAATGCTCAGGAAATGAAAGTCACAGACTCCTGTGTTTATTTAGAGGGTTTGTTTAGCTTTGTCCCTCAAAGGGTGGGGTAGAGGGTCCCTTCTTGTGCTAAGCAGTAAACTTGAGGGGGTGAAATGGCCCTTTAGCTTTAGGATCTTGTAGCCCTTTTGTAGGGTTGTAAACACTGTGTTACCAATGAGTACAGTGGTTTTCATATACAGATCTGTCTGATTGTCATCAATGCCAAGTTCTCTCTCATGATAGAGGTACCTTCTTAACTCTGCATGGGCTGCCTGAGCCTTTGCTTAGATTTGAGGCCTTGTTTTGATATAAGGTGGGAAGAGACTTCAGTTTTTGCCCTAGAGGTTTTACTTATCTATATGGATTGGGATTCTGGCCTGCCTAGGACATACTGTTGAGTGTACTGAACCTGATAGGAGAGAGGTTTCCTGGCCCTATCAGATCACAGCTTATGATCACAACCCTTACTCACCTGATAGCCACAAGAAAGAAGGTCCCTATTCCCCTACCAGAAGCCTCAACAAACCCAGCATTTATAACAGTTACAATAGAGGAAGCAAGAACTAACATTCATTGATCACTTGACAGAACACTGCATTTTCCCCCACTTAACCCTGATCACAGCCCAATGGGACAGAGATCATGGTTGTGCCCAGAAAACCATGTCCCATACTCTTCCTAGGTGCATTGGTCATTAATTTTCTCTGTCCACAAGAGGTTTTTATGCAGCGGTAAATAAAGCTTGGGAGTTGACACTGGATTTTGACATTCTGCAAGGTGCTGTGGGCTGCAATTGCATGGTGGAGAAAACCAAGTCATTGGTTAATTCCAACAGAGCAAGCAGTCTGGGGCTGTTTGGCAAGGAATAGGTGACCACTCATGCTTTTGTGGATTCCAAGACTTCATTGTATGGTAGCACTTTTTTAGGTTATAACATGTACCTGTTTGCATGTACATACATACCATGTACAAAACTATGTACCAGGCAGCATTTAGAGACGATTACTATTAACTTTCAACAACTCTGCAAGGGAACTACCATTGTTTTTATTTTTATCAACCATGAAACTGGGACTCAGGTAACTCAACCTAGGCAATAAAAATAGTAGAAACAGAGCCAGGATTAGTATCCAGACATATGATATAGAATAATTCATTATAATGATACTTAAACTTTAAAGAAGTGTATGAAATGGTCCCAATGTACAGATATGTAACAAAGAAATAAGTAAATACATTATATATTTGAGAAATAGTTACATGAAAAATTATTTTTAAACATTGGCACTTATAAGAATACATTGCAATTATTTTTTAAAATCTGAGTTTGTTTGTTTGAAAGAAAACAGATCTACTGAATATAGTAGAAAGGGGCCATGGGCTGGAAAGCTACAAAAGGTACCTCTCTGTGGAAAATTCTCTTGTTTTAATATGATAAAATATGAATTATTACAAATTCAGTTTAAAATCAAAGGTCTGAGTTCCTATACAGTAAAGAAAGACTTGTTCACTATCCAGCCCTTCATGCATATCAAGGGTACAATAGTGAAACAGAGGAAAGGAAAACAAACAACATCAAAGTATGCATTTTATATTGGAACTTGTTGTGTCCCCAGTATATGCCTGAAGCAACTGTACTATAAAATAATGAACAGGAAAATATCTTGGGATGGAGGCTTCCTTATCTAAGTAAGGCAAACTACTGAAACCTCCATTACCATACACAAATTTTAGTTGTATTGTTTGGGCTTCTTATTTTTATTATAGAGCCAAAAATTCTGGATTTTTTTGTTGTTTTGGTTTGGGTTTTTTTTTGTTTGGTTGGTTTTTGTTTTGTTTTTTTTTTGTTTTTTGTTTTTTGGGTTTTTTTTTTTCGGTCTTTTTGAGGCAGGGTCTCCCTGTAACCCCAGCTGGCCTGGAACTCACTGTGTAGATCAGGCTGGCCTGGAACTCACAGAGATCCCCAGCCTCTGCCTCCCAAGTGCTGGGATTAAAGGCAAGTGCCACCATGCCTGGCCAAAAATTCCATTTTTAAAGGAGTATTTCTCCACAAATTAGAAGTAACTGGTTTGTATCTGAAAAGAAAAACCATTGAGGGATGCAGATAAAATAATCTAACTGGACCTTTTACAAAGCTGTGGTCTGTGGCGCTGTGAAGAAGCAGGGTGGAGACTTTTGTCTTCTGCTCTCCGTGATGACTTGCTCCCAGAAAGACAAGTGCTTTGCCCAAGAGAACTCAGGAAGGTCAGATGTGGAGTCTCAAGCCTGGTCCCAACTGCATCTTCCTAGTGTCTAACCTAGTGGAGAGGGAATAAAGGATGCTCGAAAGAAGCTATTCCTTACTTAAGCCTATCGATAACCTGCTTTGCTAGCAGACACATCAAAGCCTCTGTAGCCATCCACAAGGACCAGATATCCCCAGATCTGTCACACATATTCATCAAATCCTTGTTCACTGTTCCTTTAAATCACTTTAGAATGAATTAAAACCAAGGCATCCTGAGATAACATATCCTGCCTCTGTGAAATGTGAAGTTCCAAGCACGGGGATAAAGCTATAGAGTGTGAGCCATAGAGAGTGCCCTGTCCATCTTCCTGGTGAGAGATCAGGCTCCTGACTGGATCACCCCTTAGTGATTTCTTGATGCAAGCTGTATCTCATGTACACCTGTTAGAGAAGTTGACACAGATTCTTACCAGCAAGTAAAATGAGCTTATTAGGGGCTTGGCAAACCTTTCATGCCTTGAAATAAGAGCTTAAAATTATATATATTTATGATACTTCAACTTTGTACCCAGTAGTCACTGATGAAGATTGGACTCTGTCACAAAACAGACTTAGGCTGAGAGAAAATTAATCACCAATAGCTGTTTCAGGCTCTGGGTTGGATTTTTCATTCACATGTTCTTTTCCTTTTTCCTCCTAGGGTCGGGATTACTGTTCGGAAGAAGAAGATATCACATAGCACCAATTCTCCTACTCAGAACAGGAGCTACTACTGTGTATATAGGTTACACCCCAGTCGAAATCTTTGCAAAGGTCGGTTCTCTTCACTGAACAGCACTGTAGCAAAAGAAGACCAGTCCATATCGTATGCCCCATTAAATTACAGTGTTTCCTAATGAACTTGCAAAGGAGTATTGCTAAAAACAAACAAAAACAAACAAAAAACTGTTCTTGAACTTTCTTTGTTGCTGCTAGTTAAAACTTGTTGCAACTTTTCACTTCTCTTGTGTCCAAGTTTGGAGCAAAATTCTGCAGTTTCACCTTAAAGATACTATTGGTTTTACAGATACTGTCCAACCTATTTTCTATAAGATGAGGTAGTGATGAACTCTGATATCAACCTTCTATTCTAGACCCATTCTGCTTTTAAGTCAAGCATCTCCTCCCCTCTTTCCTCCTTATCCATCTCTTCCAAGCAATCCAGAGATGGCCTGAGCCTTGCTTCTCACTGGCAAAGTGGAGCTTTGGATGGTCGCTAGGGCAAGCGTTGTTTCTCTGCTCAAAAGAAGTAGAGGAGCTATAATCAACTTAAAAGCATGTTGTGACCTAACTCCTGGAAGTGACCAAGGAGCATGCTGCAGATTGTCCCACTTACTGGGGCTCTCGTTGAGGATTAAGCTTGTAGCATTGGCTTTGCTCAGATGCAGACGAAAGTGTGACCGCAATCATTTTGAATCCCTCTTCCTCACTTTTTTTTTCTAAGAAATAAACATTTTCCTGTTTTTATGTATCCTTGTCTTTTCCCATTCATCCAGTTCAGTATTTTCAGATGATCCTAAGTGTGGAAGTTCAGTCCTCCTTCACAGTGATACTGAGAATTGACCTAAATGGCTCCCTACCTTCTGTTGATAGCTACCATGGTGTGGAAGAGCTGTGAGTGACCAGAAGCGATAAGGAGACACTCCCATGACTTCTTAGGAGGGCTGGAAGCCACCATTACCTTTCATTTAGTTAGCAAATAAAACACTCTGTTTTGTAATTCTCCCCTTCAAAATGCTACATGAGCCTCGCCACTTCCTTCCCTTCTCCTTCCCACACTGGTAGTTTGGTGAAAACTGTTTGCCTACTCGAAAACAGGACAGTCACACTGGTGGTGTTATTTGGAGATGCAGAAGCCAAAAGCCCCTGGTGGTGGTCGGGGGGGGCAGAGGGAGGAGTTGTTGACTGTGTGTTCAGTAGAGTTTATTTTTCCATACTATATGAAGAGAAAGATCTCTTCTCAAAGACAGAAGTAATATTTTTAACAAATATTGTCACAAGTAAATAGCAATCAAAAGGAGAAAATAACTTTTGTATTTTTTTATCGTGTTTGATAGCTTTGACGAGGGTTCTCTTTGTTACTTTCAGGGGAGAGCACCCTATTAAATGCTACGCCAGCAGTCCATGGTTGGGTTTGTCCTTAAAAAAAAAAAATGCAGAAAGAATACTGTGTGTTTCTCTCTTTGGGGGTTGTGAATTTCAAGGGCCTCGATATCAGCCACCCTTAAAGGTGGATAGTTATGAAGAGGGCTACTTAAGATGTTCCAGATTATCAGAAGATTGCCTGCCACAAAGTAGAATGTGGAGCTAAATTCGTTCTTGTGAAATGAGCCTTGACTTACAAATCTGTCCACAAAATAGATGTCACCACTGATGTGCTAATGGCAAGATCCCTTATCTCCTTTCAGAGCTGGGACAGTAGAAGTGAGGGGAAGGAAACACAGTCAAATGCTATAGAAGACCGGCTCAAATGTTAGCAACAAAATCCCATAATTCTTGCAGCCAGCAGCAGCTATTTTGGGGAGCAGCTGTGGTTGTTACATAAATAGAGATGCAGCCAAAATCTAAGACTTTTTATCCAGCTTCAAGCAGAAAAATGCAGGGAGAGTCAAGTAGTCTAGGGTTTTAAGTTCCCTCCCCTTGTATGTTTTTTGGCCAAGTGATGAAAATAGTTTTCCTTAACTGTAAACGAATTGCTAAACCCCACCTCAAACTTGTTCACTGGGGACTTTGTTCAATGTTCTGTGGATGGCTTTTCCCGGATCTCATGTTCCTATCAAGCAAGAAGGAAGAGAATGTGAATGTCTTCTGTTTGACTCCTCTACTTGATATCTATGACAGTATCTTCCCAGAAAATCACCACCCTTCTCCCTGAAGATGAAACACACTCGTGTTGTTTTTTCCTCATGGTCACATTTAGCATCTTGGATGTTACACGTTTCTTGGGAACCTGACTTTTGAGTGTTAATAAAACCCTACGTGTTGTTCTCCTGAACCAACGGCTTTTCACCTGGAGTTCTGTCTCCTGTGTTTTACACTGGATACATCTTCGCTGTACAGAAGTGAGTTCATCTTCAGACACATTTGGTACCTCTAGAAATAGGTCCAAAAAAATGGGATGGTTGAGTGGGTTGGCATGAAATGCTTGACTCTGTTAGCAACACTCAAAACTGTTTTCCATTTGTTGGTTTGAATCATAAAATTGTCAAGTAATTTGTGTTTGTACTTCATTTTTCTATACCTTTTGGAAGAATCTAAATTTAAAATATCCTGCCCTCCCCACCCCATGTATGGGAACATTAAGCAAATTTTCTCAGGTACAGTAAAAAGAATGCTCCAGTATACACACTGGTACATCCTGATAGGTGTGGTGTTTGTAGGACTTGGGGAGTTTGAAGGAGGGAGGGAGGGAGGGAAGTGCTCTGGTGGATAAAGGAAGGAAAATGATGAGAGATGAACTGACAACGCTTCACAGACAGCTGCTGGAGTGGACATGTGCTAGGGAAGTTGGCCTAGTGGCTGGTGGGTAGAGCGGGACTGCCAGTAAGATTCACAGCTGGTTACACATGCCTTGTGTCCGTCAAGTTGTAGAGTTGTAAAAGTTCAAGGAGTATGTATGTGCACAGCTTTCTTATACTTGGCAGGATTCAGGATCACAGAGTACTGCTTTCATAATTGAATACGTGTTTGTTACTGGCAGACAAATTTAAAAGAGGCTTTTACCTCTGTGAGGCCTCCTAGCCTCAGGCTTAAGCAGGAATATAGAGAAGCATTATGATCTATTTAGGGACAAAAAAGGTGCAAAGACCGGAGATGAGAAAACTAGGTCAGCCCCCAGAAACGGCCATACAGAGGCAGGTCTCTCTCCCCATCTGCAAGTCTCTCCCCATCTGCAGTCCTTAGAATCTGAGGCTGCACTTCGATGACTCAAGGAAGAAATACATGCCCCAGAAATAACCTTGGTTCTTAGCCCTTGGCGCCTGCCTGCTCCTTCACCCTGTGTCATGGGTGCACCGAGGCATCAAGGTAACCATGCCAGTGAGCTGACAGCCTAGGAATGAAGCCCACTTCTTGGTCCAAGGTGATGTCATCTAACACTGAGCTCTAACTTTGTCCCCCTTCAATCTCATCACCAACTTTTTTTTTCTATTATGATAGGACGCCCATAAGCCTGCTAGAAACAGATTATACCTCTTCTGAATTTTACCTCAGTAGCTTACAATGCAGATTGGCATATTAATGAGAAGTCTTGCTTAGACACTAGGTAAGAATTTAAAAGAGTTCAATTTCTAGTGATCCTGAGAAAGGAAACTTCATTAAACATGTTGGTTTTCTATAAAGAAAAATTATCATCTTCCTAATGTAGGAAAATATCAAGAATCTTAGACTCCAGAACCCAGATATTAACTTTATAAAAGGTAAAACAATGGTATATAAATTCTGTCCAGTTTTTCTCAAAAAACAGTATCACATTCTACTCTATAATTTTACATAAAATTTTCCCTCCATGCTTTTCCCACTGGAAGGCCATCTCAGTGTTATTCCTTTGTACCTCTTTTGAAATTGATCCTTTTGTTAGGATGCTTAAAACTCCAGAGGAAAATTAAGGCAATATTTGGGGCATAGTGACTATGTATTTAAAAGACATAATGAAAAGGTGGCCAGAAGCAGGGATTTAGGCTTTAAGATGTCACAAGTAGATTGCTAGACTCTGGCATGCATCTTCAAAGCTGGGTGAGGCCACAACTTTCACACAGCAGATGCCTTGGAATAAACCTTTTGGAATTCCATGAATGAAGTCCGTGAATTGCTTTTTGCCAATGAATGGACACATTTTCCAACAGGGAAAACACGCCCTTGATTTCCGGAGTCACCTTTTTCTTAATGTCTTTGGGGAAAAGGTCACAAAGCTATGGCTAAAAAATGAGACTTGTGAGAGGATATATATCTGTTTGTGACAAACCTTTTGACCCATTAATAGTGCCATGGTTTTCAAGAGATTCTCTATCATATTTGGGGTCTAATCTCATGCTGAGGGGGAAGAGGAAAAAGGAACTAATAAACATTCACTCACTATGTGCCAGATACTATACATTTTATATTTATCTCATGTATTCTTCACAATAGTCCTGTTACCCTAGGTTCTAAGTAGTGTAGTATACATGTTGACTGCATCTATCTAAGGAAAATGATGTTGAAAAAAGGAAAGGTGCCGTTCAAGTACTTTCCACCTTATGATTATTATTATTACTGTGCCACCCTGCAACACTGTGAAAACAACCTTTGGGAGCATCCACCCTCCAGATTTTCTCTTTGACTCCTTACTAGCTTGGTTTCCTCTTGGGGAGTCTTGCCTGGCCTTCCCACATCTCACAAGCTGCACATAAACCACTGGTGACAAAAGTACCATGGGGCTCAGAGGTAAAAGGTTTGGGGAATTTGGCACATCCTTTCAGCATCTGGGAAAAGAGCCTTGCCCTTCTGCAGTTAGATACCAGATGCAACCTGCACAGCCTTTTGAGTGCTGTGGTTTCTCCCCTGGGTCCTCAAGGCTTGTTTCATTAGAGGCTGTACGTTTTTAAGATTAAAAGCCTCACCATTGCACAGTGATTTGAGAGACCCTGACCTCTAGCACTGAAGGAAAGATGATGTCTAGACCACTGACCTGTGTAGAAGTCCTTTCTGGTGGGCTACAGGTTGGATATTTCTTCTTTTGATGCTAGAGTAGGAATCTCTATTTCCAGCTAATTTGAGCACCTAACCTACACCTAATTCTTAAGAATCTCAAGATCTTAAATATTTTCAGATAGTCATGTGATGACCTAGAGAGTCACCTTGGCCCAAGGTCAAAAGGACCCAGGAACTCCACAGAGCAAAAAAATGACTCATCTCTATAGCTACTGGCAAAGGTGCTGCCTGGCTGGGACTCACACCCAACCTCTTTTACTCAACTTGAAAAACTCAAGAGAATTTCCTTAAGCGAAGGGAATGCCTTGTCCAATTTTCTTGTGAGAAATGCCCTCAGGATCCCGATTGCTTCTAACCTAGCAGCTGCCAAATTCCTTCAAGATGATGTGGAAATAGTTCTTATCTCTTGAAAACCAAAGAAATTCCTTAAATTCAGGAAGCCTCCTGTTACTGTCTTCTGCCCTGAATTCACTCTCCTTCCCTTCCCAAGGATTATTTTTAGACCAGGGTTTTGAATTTAACTGAGTAAGACTTGGAGTAAAAAGAGCACTACAAACTCAGCCAGACTATCTTAGGTTCTCTAGGGCTGAAAATAACCTTAGACCTCAGGGGCTACTTGGCCCAGACCCAGAAATAAAAGAATAGCCCCTGGCTTGGTTGTCAGTCCAGACCACCAAAGATTCTTCTCTATTGACAGGCAAATGAGCAAAGGAAGTTTTGCAAAAGATTTCAAACCAGATTTTTCAAAGAAAAGATTATTCAAAGAAAGATGTAAATTCATTAGAAAAACTACTAATGGGGTTGGTGATTTAGCTCAGTGGTAGAGTGCTTGTCTAGGAAGCTCAAGGCCCTGGGTTCTGTCCTCAGCTCTGGAAAAGAAAAAAAAAGAAAAACTACTATTTTCCTGGAGCAGAACCAGGCAACTGCCTTATTAGGACTTTAAATTTGAATCCGTTCTTTTAACACATACATAAAGATACATGATAAAGAAAATATAAAGACTTAATCATAGACAGACTGGGGAAAGCTGTGTTTTAGCTTCCTGTAATCACTAACATAATGTCTAGAAGAATATTTGTGTAGTTTATGATATCCAAACAGGAAAAAATAGTGATGGCTCTTGCATAAGTTTGAGTTAAAATCCAATTGGAGCATCAAGGTTGAGTGGTCTTTTTGCTTTGTGCTCCTCTGTGCCAGATGTCTGTATGTATTTGACTCCTCTGGGCCTCTTGCTGGATATTTTGACTCATCTCCTATCCCAGCCCACAGTGGGTAAAGGATATATCCATGAGACACATGCCAGGTCCAGCCATAGCATGGTCACACTCCCACTCATCCATGTGGCCTTGGCTGTGACATTTCAGCAGCTCCACTGGAATGCTCTGATACCGTGTAGAGATGGAGGCCCTTCATCCAAGTTGTCTCAGGTGTGCCATTTTGAGCATTGTCCTTCCTTCCCAATCCTGAGGACATATTCATTGACCTCATAGATTCCAGGCCCTGAACCAACTGTCAGCAATTCATAGTCCTACTCTCAAGGAGTCTCACTTAGGGGAGACAGTCTGGAAGGGCCACCACAGAGAGAGCAGAGGATGCAATGGGAGCATCTTCCAGTGGCAGCTAGCCAGCTTCAGACATGGAAACTTCCAGAAAACAGTGACAGCAAAATCTGTACTTGTCTGGGCACTGAAGGAGAGTATTAGAAAGAATCATCTGTGTTGAGAGGACAGCAGAGACTTAGCATGGGGGAAGAGGGCCATCTGCGGCTTCCATGCAGTAAAGGGGCAGGAGCTCAGAGTGGAAGAGAGAAGAAAAAGGGGCAAAGGGTAAGAATAGGGTGACAATCCAGGCTCCGGGACTGAAGATTCGTGGAGAATCAGGAACGTTTTAAGCACTTCTCCTGTGCTCTCCCCTCAGTCTGTCTCCCTGAGAGCTAGATTTGGTCATTCTTGGGTGGAGATTCCCATCCTCTGTGGAAAACACAGCTGCCTTCTGAGAAGACACGGGTTCTCACTCATCCTCTGTCCCTGCCCCACCTTCTCTTCCTGTCTCCAAAAGCTGTTTGAGTTCAAGGGCTTTAGCCTGAGCTGGATCTGGTTTGGAGATTCATGGGAGACAGGGCTGATGGGTCATCCTGACCTATCTTTAGAAAAATGATGGTTAAAAATACCTCTTGAGACCAGGTTGGCCTAGACCCAGAGATGAGAGTGTACCCTAAAATAAATATACAGGAATCAGCAAGGGCTTCCCTATTTAGTGTGTGGTTTTAACCAAAGGCAACTGCCCTTGGTAGCCCTCCCCTGGGTTAGGTTGCATGCACTGACTCAGTGGCCAAGCCTCTGCTGGGTCACAAGTGCACACCCAAATCCTGCCAAAGAAAGATGAGTTTTTTAAAAAATCATAAAGCACAGATGAATTGTGTGCAAATGTAAAATATCCACATGCCTAGACAGTTGTGGCTGAAGACCTTGTGGGGACTGGGAGCTGGGCGCTCTGCCTGAGCGAAAGAGGGAAGGCTCAGAGAC